AAAAGATAAGCCACAGAAGAGATAATTAAAATATACTAATCGTCAAAAGAATTTCATTTTACTTTTTATTTTATTAGCATTGCTTTTTAAAAAAGGAATATGATTACATTGAAAAAGTTTGTACTGGTTGGAGAATTTGGAAGGGGAATTATATTCACAGTATTGTTGTAGCTTGATAGTACAGGTAGTACAGTTTTGTCAGTAAAGCTCAAAAATTTTAGTAGACATATAGAACTGCTAGTTTACATTAAAAATACAATTACTTTTTTTAGTATAAGAGTTTTATCAGTTTAGTTATTAAAATACTTTTAATTTTTTTTAACTTCCCAGACCGTGATTTTTATTTTCAGAAGTTCAGTTTGATGTTTTGTTTTTTCTGGAGGGCACAGGTGAAGGTATGCTGGGGCTGTAGAAGATTAATAGATAAATGATAGAAAACCTCTTGGTTTTCTGGGAATTGGAAAGGTCCAACGTCAAGGATGCCTAGGACCACCTGGGGAGCCAAGACAAAACTGGCCATCAAGGGAGATGTTCATTCTAGAGAATCAGTCCTCCTAAGTAAGACTACAATCTGCAAATAACAGAAACTTCTCCATCCCCAGAATAAGCCCAACACAGAGGCAAAGCCACTGCCAAGCACAAGCTGGGCCCTTGGGGGAGCAAGGCTGTGGAGAACAAGTCACCCAAGCAAGGCTGAAACTTCTGCTGAACATCAGGAATCCTCCAATCTACTTCACCATCAGAGAGCTTTGAAGACGTGGGACCTGAGGAAGCACGTCATCAAAGAAGTGCCTTTAAGGGTTCACTGTGCACCAGCCCATTCCTATCTTTCTCTTTTGTTTCCTTCCAACTGCCATAAGCAACATCTTCTACCACATCCCCCACAGTGGTGTTTATCATGCCCCAATGACAACGGAGTCAAGTGACCGTGGATGGAATCCTCTGAAACCATGACTCCAAACAAAACTTTTTCTTTGTTTTCCTCAAAAAAAAAAAAAAAAAAAAAAGCATATTGCACTTTCACTTTCCCAGAATGCATCATGACTGATATAGACAGCCAGCTTCTGCACAGTGAAGAGTTCCCAAGAATTCCTCTGGCCATTTTTACCCACTATGCCCCAAACAATCTAGCTCTTCCTAATTTCCTTTTCTGCAAGAGAACTGCATTATATCTCCTTCTTATCAGAGTCCAGAAATCAAAGCAAACTGCTGTCTTCCATTACAAAAACATGACTTCTAAAAATGACACCTTGAAGTTATTAAGCTCCTCTTATTTGCGGATATATAAGTGAGCTGTTTGAGCTGTTAAAGATTAAGCCCTTAATGCTTTTAGCTGTCAAGGGCAAAAGCTGGATAATTAAGCCACAATGGAGAGCAAAAGCCTTGGGAGACAGGACCTGTGAGTGGAAGGGACCATTTCAAGGTGGTTATGATTAGTAAACAGTACAGAGGTCTCCATCAGTTCAAGGTTATGGATGGTCTTCCCAGAGAAGTATCATGAATCCCAAGACTAGGGCTCACAATGCAAGCTCACATTTTCCAGTCTGTGTTCTTTATTTTTTAAATTTTATTTATTTTTATTTTATGTGTATGTGTATACTGCCTGCATGTAGGTAAGTGCACCCATGTCATACAATGCCCTTGGAGGTCAGAAGAGGCTGTCGGATTCCCTGGGACTGGAGTTACGGACAGTTGTTAGCTGCCATGTGGGTGCTGGGATTCGAACCCGGGTCTTCTGCAAGAACAACCAGTGTTCTTAACCGCTAGGTCATCTCTCCAGCCCCCCAGTCTGTGTTCTTATCTTTGGATGCAACTCCTAGAGGAGCTCAGCTGTCATAAATTCTGTTTTCTAAAGCCCAGGGAATAGCAGTGACAGGCAGCTACTAGGGAAGAAGTGACTGCTGTGAGTAGAGCTTTAAAGTAGGAGGCTGTGGATGGACATACTCGCTTTGCCAGCAATAGCCTGAAAGGAGAGATGTCTAGAAGAGCAATAAGTCAGAGAAGACGTCATAGAGGTGCAGCCTAATGCCATTCAAATATTAGTTTAATAGTTGCAGTGAACAGAAACAGGAGCCCCACCCCCATACACAGATCCAGGTAATACCCCATCTGTTCCCTCCAGCCAGTCTGCTCTCACCTTGCTAACTTTGAAGACTAGCCCTGCTTTGTATGTGATTGAGGTTTTGGTTCCTGCTCACATTATCACAAGGTTTTAAAATGCCTTCCTCTGTAACCTTCTGCCCTCCCTAGCCCCCAGCTTATCCCCAGAATAGCCTTAACTCTCCTTCAATCTTCTGGTTTCACACAGAAAGCTGATTCAGCACAGAAGTATCCAACAGATCATAAAGAAGGGACTTTGGAAATGCAAAGGACAACAAATACTTATCAGGCCTGGTAGTTCTGGAGACAGTGAGGAAAAAAGGAGTACCAGGCTATGGAGCATCCTTGTTCAGACCATTTGCTCCCTAGGCCCAGTCTCATTGCTGCCACCTCTGTATAGGGAGGGACCCCAGAAGAAATAACTCTTTGTTTTTGTTGTTTTGTTTTTTTGAGACAGGGTCTCTCTATAGCCCCAGCTGACCTGGAACTCACTATGTAGATGAGGCTGGCTTTGAACTCACAGAGATCTGTCTGCCTCTGCCTCCCAGGTGCTGGCCACCACGCCTGGCAGTAACTCTTCTTTTTGATATTGGTGATACCCAGAATGGTATTTTCCTATGGTACCTCAGAACTAAAAGAAGTTTTGTATTTTTAAAAAATAAAAACATGCAAGTCACTTCATTCTGAAATGTATAATACAAGCATCATTTGCCCACTTACAGTGACCTGTACAGAATGGGAAAGGTCAGTTTTCACTGCTTGTTAGCCACGTGTCTTGCCATTTTGTGTCTTCCATTCATCTACTGGAGCAGTTTACAAAATCATGGCTACCCAGCCCAGAAACAAACAATTAAGACCAGAGACATTCATATCATGGTAAAAATGGAAGTCTGTTTTTCCTATAAAAACAGCTAATGTTTTCTGGGTTGCTCTCCCCACACAGGCCCTTCTGTTCTGACAGGATCTTCAGTCAACTTTTAGACAGGAATGCTTCCTAGAGGCAGGGGCAGGATAGGGGTTTACTATAATTTTTAAAATATAGATACACTATGGAATATATATATATATATTTATCTTTTTGAGACAGGGCCTCCCTATAGCTCCCCAGGTGCTATGTAGACCACGCTGGCCTAGATCTCACAGAGATTTGAATTCCTCTGCCTCCTGAGTGCTGGAATTAAAGGCATGTCATCATGACTTGCTCCATGGAACTTCAGAATCCCTCATCAGAGATGAGGTGATTGTAAGGATGAATAATTAGTGTGGGGAACTTCTGGTTTTGTTCATACAAAAACTCCTTTTTTTTTTTTTTTTTAAAGAATCCTGGATGCCACCCTACTAGTAAGCCTAAACTGGATAAAATCTGGACAGTTATATGTACATGTCTTTTAGAAATTCCACCGCTATACGTATTTCCCAGTTTGGGTCAGCTGAAACAAGGCACTTCCCTTAACAATTTCACCTAATAAATCTAAATATACTAGGAATATGCATTTGGTTTTAAGAAGCCAAATTAAAAAATCAAGTGAAGGGAGAATACAATCACTCCTGTTTAAAGAATTTTATTATTTGGGACTCATTATTTTCTTGATCAAAAGAAAATTAAGAGCAATCATCAGATCTGCAAACAACAAAAATATGGAGATGATTTCTAACATCTTACTTTCTATTTCCACCAACTAATATAATAGCAAAGCCCTTTCAAACAAATGCTGTAACTTCTGAAGCTGTCTTTTTGGGGAGAATGCCCCCTGCAAAGGAAGAGCTCTATTCCCTGGAGGAAGGAGAGAACAAGGAGGCTCAGAAATCAGCTGCAGGTTTATTTTTAAATCTTAAGTTTCTATTCAATTCATGTTTTAAAAACAGAAATTGATGTTTATCAGGAAGTGAGCCTTTGGAGTACGTTTTCCAGGGCAGAAGGGATGTAAAAGATTTCATTTATTCTTTCGTTTAATCTCTCGCCTTGGTGATTTTGTAAACTTGACTCCTTATAAACTTGATTCAATCTGAATGGCTCACTAATTGGAATGTCAACAGTACACATAAGGAAATCAAATAGCTAACTTCAAATGAGATAAACACATACAAAACTATATTATGGAGAGAACAGAATAGGTCATTTTGCTTTAATTAATGAGAAACCCAGGTACCCTGCCCTTACCAGCCGCCCAAGATTGTAGTAGCAGTCTGGGTATTTCCTCCTGTGTTTAATTGCTGTCCGGTAACTTTGTTCCGCTGCCTCGAACCGTTTCAAGCTATTCTGTACTATGCCCAAATTCATCCATGCAGCTGCAAAGTCTGGCCTGGCAGAGCATTTTTAAAAATGATAAACAAGAAAAAGAAAAGATCAGACAACCACTCAACCCTGCAACTCGGTTTTCTGTCCTTGACAGAATGCTTTTTAAAAAAATACTTACTGTATTTGGACAGCCAATGACAGCAGCTCTTCAGCTTCCTGCAGCTCATTCCTCTCTTTTAGGATGTTTCCAAGATTATTCATGGCATGAACATACTTGGGATTTAGTCTGGAAGTTGAGAGAAAAAACCGAACCGACTGTTACTGTTCAGTCATCTTCCCTAAACAGTTAGGAAGAAACAAAGACCTCTCAAAGTTGGTTGGGCTTTACAGGGGACAGGTCTGCAATCCACGCATATGCTGGCAGTACCTGACTGCTTCCCGGTAATATCTGATGGCCGCTGTTTGGTTGCCTTGATCAGCCAGGTTTTTGCCAATGTTGTAGTGAACCTGAAAAACACAAGTGACATCTGGCCATCAGCACATAGCCGGACACCTATCATATCTACCGAAGACAAAAGGGAAAGGGATTAAAAAAAAAAAAGTTACCCACCAGAACTTTTGTTAATACCCTACTAGGTGGAAGCTACCGGGTTTTATAAGAAGCTGTAAGAAAAGACCACATGGGAGGTGACAAGCAGATACAGGAATAAAGTATGACAGAAAGGAAACTGACTAAGGCACCCTAAAGAAAACTGGACAGGCATGAAGCTAGGCTGTTCTGGCTAGGCCTCATGCTCCACGCCTCCTCTCCCACATTCCTGACACACGGATAATAAGCCAATCAAACACAGACCTGGGAGAGGCAATCGTTCTATCTGCCACTTTTCTAAGATCAGCTTTTCTTGTACAGCATATTCCTTTAGCAGCATCATAAACATTTTGCTTTATTCCTGTTACGAACAGAGTGCTTCTGTTTCCTGTTGCCAAATTTCTATATTAAAATCCCAACTCCTAATGTGAGGACAATAGGCGGTAGGACTTTGGGAGGTGAGTAGGTTATGAAGGTGGGGCCCTGAGGTTGTAATGGGAAGATAGTTGTCCCTGAACTGCAAGAGGGGCCTTAGCAGGCACCACTACCCATTGATGCCATTATGTGCTCCCCAATCCTCAGAACTATGAAAGTAAATACTTGTTTAAGTCCACAGCATTCTGTTATGGCAGCCTCAACCAAGAGGATACCTAGTAAGATGTATCCTCCCTCATCCTTCAGGTGGCAACTGATGGTAACTGGGCAAGGCTCTGTGCCAACAGCTGGGAAGAACATGGGCAGCAAAGGCTCAGCAAATTCCTGCCTCGCAGAGCCCCTAGCTAATGACCAAACCATTTCTTAGAACCTGTATCACTGAATAGAGCTGCAAAGGCTCAGAGCCCAGGAAAGAGTCCTGCAGGTTGCACTTCTGGGCTGAGTTCTAAAGCAGCTACTAGGTAAGCGTGTGTTATCGAGGGTTTTGGGGCAGAGGAGGCAGCACCAGCATGATTTGGTTCAGGGCTGGGAAGAAGAGGTGTTGGGACAGAAGGCTCAGTGTTTTTAGAGTGTAGAGATCTGGGGCCCAGACTGGCTAGCTCTCAGAACCACTGGGCAACAGCAGGTTGATGGGTCACTGCCTGAGAGCAACAGGGACAGTGCAGGGTGTAAGGAGTGTCCTTAGGCTATCATGACAAAGCAACACTAACTGGGGCTGCACACAGGACTGCTATTCTCAGTTCTGAAATCCAAGTCTCAGGTGTGGGTGGGCAGGTTCCTCTCAAAAGAGAGAGGCTGTTTAGCCTCGCTTCTTTCTTTGAATGCCTGTTGGTGACCCTTTGTTCCCAGTCACCTCTCTGCTGTGAGAGGTGAGGCCTTCACTTATGAGCCTTTTCCCCTAGGTCTCCAACCCTCTTCTTTTTTATTAGGATTAAGGGCTGATTTTACTCTGGTTGTAACCTCAGTCTACTCAGATTTCTTTTGGTATAACCGAATGCCACAGGCTGATAAATTCACTCATAGTTTGGGAGGGAGGCAGTAAAGCCTAGGGTGGAGGGCTGCACTTGCTGAGGCCTTCTACAGCATCACTAGACAGTGGATGGCATCACTGGCAAGACTGGTGTGCCAGCTCAGGTCTCTCTCCTTGTGAAGCCACATATACCATGGGCTTCATCCTCATGACTTCATCAACCCTCATCACCTCCGAACACCATCAGTGTATAGTCTGGGAATTACAATTCTATCCCACGAGCTTCACATTCACACCATAGTAATGCCATCTCAACTGGCACTTTCATCATATCCTTACTATCTCTTCCCAAATAAGGTTCCAGCTACAGGTGTCAGGATTTCAATCTGTCTTCTAAGGGGGACACAACTCCACTCAGGATGAGTAGCAGAGGCTCATAATCTGACCTGCATTTTCATAAGCCACACTGTAGGAAATACTTGAGGGGGAAGCAGCAGACAGCGAGGTCCAGGAAGAAGCCATCGCTGTGTTCCTAAGGACAAAGGGCAACAGAGTGAATGAGGGTGGTGGTGAAGAGGAGAGAAATCCGAGGAGCCCTGAACTGGTGATGGACTGATAGAGAGAGAAAAAGGGTCAAGAATGAATGCTAAGTTTCAACCTGTCCGAATGGAACGATGTGACTGAAGGCTTGCAAGAAGGGACTGGGGCATGGCAACTACGCTGAGAAAGAGGCTAGAGTGAACACTGAATCAAGAGAGGACCAGTCACAGATACTGTTGGTGGGGTGGCAGGGAGGGAAGAGCAGGGATAAGAGACATTCCAGGTAGGCATGATCACCTAGTGGTAAATACTATGAAGGGATGGCAATGTTGTAGAAGTGATTAGAAGTGGTGACTGCCTTAAGTGTCATTAACTGTTCACTGTACGTGACATATACTACCACACGCAGCTTAATAATTCTAATTTTAATTCCTTTTGAGGAACTAAAATGGTTCATTTATTTAGGCCTTTTTGAGACAGGGGCTCACTAAATAACCTTGGCTGGCCTGGAACTCACTCAGTAAGCCAGGCTGACCTTGATCTCATAGAGATCCACTTGCCTCTGCCTCCCAAGTGTTAGATTAAAGGCATGCCTGATTATTTAAAATTTTTCTTTTCTTTCATTGGTTTTTTTTTGGGGGGGGGATCTTTTTGAGACAGGGTCTCCCTGTAGCTCCAACTGGCCTAGAACTTGTTCTGTAGACCAGGCTGGTCTCAATCTTACAGAGATCTGCCTGCCTCTGCCTCCCAAGTGCTAGGATTAAAGGGGTGCAGCACGACCATGCCCATTGATTTATTTTATTTTTAATTATGTGTATTTCTGTGTGTGGGTATGAGCATGTAAATGGAGGTACCCATAAAAGCCAGGAGAGGGCATTGGATCCCCTGGAGCTGGAGTTACAGGTGACTGCAATGTGGAGGTCGATGCTGGGAACTGAATGCAAGTTCTCTGCAAGAGCAGTATATGTTCCTAACTGCTGAGCCATTTCTACAGCCCCTATATAATTACTTAAAACAAAAAGCAATTATTCATTGTGTATGCATATGTATGGAGGGACATATATCTATGTATGGGGGAGGTGGCATGTGTGCCTTGGAACAGAGAGGACAGAGGACAATTTGTGGGAGTCAGTCCACTTCTTCCACCATGTGGTTCTTCCACCATGTGGATTTTGAGGATTCATTTTAGGTTATCAGGCCCAGAAGAAAGGGCCTGAGTCATCTTATGGGCCCTAAAATGGTAACTGTATATGATGAGAATTTTGTATCCATTAAAAATTAAAGAGAATGGGGTTGGAGAGGTGACTCAGCAGTTAAGAACATTGGCTGCTCCTGTAGAGGTACCAGGTTTGAATCCCAGAACCCACATGGAAGTTAACAAGCATCCATAACTCCAGTTCCAGGGGATCCAATGCCCTCTACTGTCCTCCTTGGGCACTGAATGACACAGGTGCACTTACACACATGCAGGCATAACACTCATACACATAAAATAAAAATAAATAAATAAAAATGAGAGAGAATATGAAATAATCTTTAGTGACTGAAGAGGCTAATACAGAAGACTGGAAAGAACAGGACTCACAGTTGCTAGAACCTGCTAGAAATTCTTAAGCCAGCTTAGAATGAGGACACCCAGGAAGCTAATACAGGGTGTTTTCTCAGAATGTATTACAAAGAAAGGCTAGGCATGGTGGTGCATGCCTGTAATCCTAATACTTGGGAAGCAGAGGCAGAAGGATCTGGAAACTCAGGCCATCCTAGACTACATAGAAAGTTCAAGGTCAGTGAAGTCTACTTGAGACCCTGTCTCAGAAAAAAAAAAAAAACAAAAAACCATTAGGAAAAAGAAAAGGAGCTGGAACCTAGACTAAGAGCAGGGAAGCAGGGTGGCCTTGGCCCTGAGGGAAATGATCAAAGGTCCCTATTGATGATCAAAAGCTCTTCCCAAAGCCATGCAGTATAAAGGCCAATGACAATCTCAGGAGGGGACACTGCAAATCTCTGTTCAGAGAGGACTCAGGGTGACTAACAGACAATAGTATTGGCACACGTCAAGGGCCACCCAGACTCCACATGTTCTTCCTGAGGCTTTTCTCCCATGAGCTCTCTGAGCTGACAGAGCTTCTTTCCCTTCTGGACTGATAAACCACTTTGGTGTTGAGCATCTCAGAGATTGTGAGGCGAGGTTTGAACCCGAGTTCCTAAGTCCCCCTTTCTTCTTACCACAGCACACCTGCTTCCCAGAAGCCTGGTGCAGATAGGTTGACTGTGCCAAACCATTTCTGATGTCTCACTGCATCATCTGCTTTTCTTCCCAAAGCGAACCACTGTCTTTTGCTGTAAGTCATGGACAGAATGCACAGTTCCCCCAACATTCATACATTGAGGCCTAGTACCTTGTAATGTGACTTATGGGGACAGGGTCTTCCAAGTGGTAATGAAGGTAAAATATGAGGTCATATAGAATGGCCCCAATCCAATCTGGCTGGTGTCTTATAAGAAGAGAAAGTCCGGATGCAGAGATAAGGGATGTACACAGGAAAGGACACAGTAAGAAGACGCCACTGACACTTCAAGGGGAGAGGCCTCAGAGAGAGCAGCCCTGCCAACACCTTAACTTTGGCCATTCTGCTTTTAGAACAAATTTCTGTTGTTGAAGGCACAGAGTCTAAAGTATTTTGCTGTGGCAACCCATGGAAACGAATATATCTCAAAACACAGCAATGTCTTAAATACATTCAAGGAACATGTGCACTATTTCCAAACAACCTCTGAAAATGGACAACCCCCCGCCCTTGTCAGTCATCCCACAGTTCCAATACTTCTCAGATACACTTGGATTTCTGGAAGGGTATGGAACAGTGTGTCATTCCATAAGCACATGTGTAACAGATTCCTTTTACAATGCCAATATTTAAAAAAATTATTATTTTTATTTTATGTGTATGAGTGTATTGCCTGCATGTAGGTAAGTGCACCTGTGTAGTGCAATGCCACGGAGGACAAAAGAGGCCATCGGATCCCCTGGAACTAGAGTTACAGACAGCTGTTTGTTGCCATGTGGGTGCTGGGATTCAAATCCGGGTCTTCTGAAAGAACAACCAGTGTTCTTAACTGCTGAGCCATCTCTGCAGCCTCCCTACAATGCCAATTTTTTTAAAATTTATTTTTATTTTATGTGTATGAGTGTATTGCCTGCATGTATGTGAATACACCCGTGTCATGCAATGCCGCAGAGGTCAGAAGAGGGCTTTGGATTCCCCTGGAACTGGAGTTAAGGACGGTTCATAGCTGCTATGTGGGTGCTGGGAATCAAACCCAGGTCCTCTGCAAGAGCAGTCAGTGCTCTTAACTGCTGGGCCATCTCTCTAGCCCCACAATGCCAATTTTAAAGGAGCTACATGTATGTTTACCTAGTCTAATGAATGAAACGAACAAGCAGAGAAATCACAGGTGATGTAATGTGTACTTGCTCTTGGGCACTACAGGGTGTAACTTAAACTTCCTGGACCACAGTATTGTCCATTCATAACTATTTTCATCCTTAAATTCCGGCTAGGAAGTGGCTCAGTAAATGCCATTGCTAGAGTGTGAGCTAGTGTTTGTGAAAGTGAGCTATAAAATTGTTCAGTGTCATGCCACCCCAGCTGGAAGTGTGACTTCGCTTCTCATCCCAGGTACTAAAGAACACAAGGCCAGAAAGTGCTGGCCGAGAGGGATGTCCTCCTGGTCCCTGGAACACAAACAACTTCTCCCCAGACTTCAACAGAGCCCGAGCATCTCCCACCCACAAGCTCCCTTTGCTTTCCTTTGTTCTGGGTAAATTCTGCTTTCTCCATGAAAAGCTTACACAAGGAGTTCAGCTGCCCTCTGCAGCATGGCCAGAGTTCTGTCAGACACTCAGAATGCCAGGCCATACCGGAGCCTTCCATAGCTCAGTTGATAGAGTGGAGGACTGTAGTGGACAGAATGCCAGGCCATAATCCCAGGGGAAAGGATAGACTACTCCCGAAAGCCAGACTAGAGTTATTTACATGGAACGCGTTAGAAATCTGACTCAAGCCTAGAAGGCAGTCTAAAACTAAGACCTGGTAAACAGCCTCACTGTACAGATTCAATGGAAGGAATTCTATGGAAAGAAAGCAGCTGCCTAGATGGTCCAACAAAGCAAAACACAAACCTCACCACCAGGTTATATGGAATTCATGTTTACAGAATGAGTAATTTTGTTTCCATGGTGTATAAAGACCGAAAGAGTCTGTTTATTCAACTTTCCCTTCGGCCTTTGTGCCTCATACGAGGTGGCAATGAAGCCACATTAAAACAACCGTTGCCACGGAATGACATATACAAGCAGACAAGTCGTTGCATCCGTAATAAACGGCACTTTCAATACCAGTGCTTGAGAAACTGGCTGTTTCAAATGTTCTGCCAACATTGGATGCTAAACTTAAAATGTTTCAAACACATAAAAATTCTGTAATCCTCCTTAAGGAAATACCTCATACAGTATACGATCCTTTTCACTGTTAAAATAACTTAGAACTGTATCACAGGGTTGATATTAAACGCAACATATATGCAAGTCTTAAAAACTAAAATGGCTGCCAATAAATTGAGTACTTGGAATCTCATACGTGGTAGGCTTGGCGAACTCAATTCCCATGTGGCCCAATTCAGTAACAAATATTAAGTGCCTACCCCATGCAAGGCAAGGTGGGTAATTTTAATGCAGGCCAGAGACCAGAACTACCTACACTGATACTCCAATCTTCTAAAAAGGTGAGTCTCAGTTTATAAATCTGGGTTAACTAGAGTCAAGTGCCAACAGCTTATTTAGTGATTATCAAGTGGGTCAATGGAGAAAACAAATCCCAAGGGATTAAAAAAAAAAAAAAAAAAGACACAGCAGTTTCCTAGTATGAGCTCTTCTTTGCTATCACCCTAGCTTATTTCAAAAAGAGACAATTTTGATACCTCAGTAGATATAGATATGGGAAAATTTCAAAGAAAACAAAATAGAAACTCTTATTGCTTATATTAAATGGTATTGCTGGAAAAACTCTTGGAAAAGAACTGTTACCAGTGGGACTGTTTTGAAACTGAGGTCTTTCCATACAGCTCAAGTTAAACAGAGAAACACACACCCTTGTAGTTCTGGGCATGCCCACACATGCACCTTGCATTTTCCAGTCTATCATGGCTGAACTCCCCATGCTGGATAGATTTTTAGGCCGGATAGCAAAGGCATTCCATGCCCCTCATTTCTAGGGTCACATGGGCACAGCAACAACAACAAAAAACCATACCAGGTCTATCAGCCACCCAAATGACTAACCTAATTAATGTCAGCTTCCTCTTTCCATGCCTCAGTTTCTCCTACCTGGAAAAATTTAAAAAACAATGTCCTCTATCCCTACAGTCCTTAGGAGGAGGATAATGGGATTAATTATAGAGCTCTATGTAGAGACTGGAGTTCCCCTCTGTGAAGAACCATATAAACAGAACAGTAATTACTGTTGCTCACACAAGAAAGTAAACCAAATTTTACATTTATGAAATGAAATTGCTACTAAAATTTATTTATGAAAGAAACTTATTAGTCAGCACATCAAAGATAAACCTTAAAGTAATTCACTCTTTCTCTAAGTCTCTTAACTATATAACATATCTTTTTCATATACTAGTTTTCACTTTGGGGTCACAGGAAGGTGTCAAGTGCTCATTTGTTTTACTCGTATCATTTTGCCCAAAAATCAGTGCTTTCCCTTAGATGTAGATGAGAACTCCAGAGAGCGTCCCCTTCCAGGAGGATTACATTTCAGCATTCTGAATTGATCCAATCAGATGAACTAAGAATCTGATAGTAATAGAAATCTTTAGCCGAATGTCTTGATTTCCACCTTGAACAAACAGAATTCCCTTCCTGCAACTCAATATGAAACCAAAATGAACATAAATTTATAAAAGCTAACATTTTTTGAGCACCTACTATGTGCGGATCACTATGTTCAGGGGATGTCACACAATCAGTCCTCACAAGAAACCAAGGAGACAGGTATTATTTTTTTTTCTTACAGAAAAGGGCAGCTGGTTAGGTGAAAAGCTGGATTCACTAAAACACAAGTGAGATAAATCCCAACTAGATTGCTCCAACAAAGACACTACCAATTTTAAAGCATACATTCAGCTTATCTAACCTGGCAAAGGATCATGAGCAGAGAATTCAAGGTGAGGTAATTCAAGTGCAGCTCACAGCTGAATACCAAATTTCTGAGCTAAATCACTGCCTACTCATAAGTATTGACACCTTCTTGTAAGAACTTGCAGGAAGGGCTGGTGAGACAGCTCACTGGTTAAGAGCACTGGCTATTCTTGCAGAGGACCTGGTTCAGTTCCCAGTACCCACACGGCAGCTAACACCTGTCCATAATTCCAGTTCCAAGGGAATTCAATGTCCTCTTCTGACCTACATGGGTATTACTTGACAGGGGTACATGTACGTACATGCAGGCAATATACTCATACACATAAAATAAAAATAACTAAAACATTTTTTTTTTTTAAAAAAGAACTTGTAGGAGGCCAGCTCCTTCTATCACTAGAGCCTGGTTCTGAAAAGTGTGTTTTGAAAGGTTAGAAGGTGTACCCAGTCCTAGCCTGGAGACTGACAGCGCCTCTCTCAGTCTCCTCAAAGAGAGGTGATTATTGCAATTGGAGGATGGGTATGGTACAGCCTTAAGTAAATCTGTTTATTGCTTCTGTCTGGTTATAATGATTTATTTCAATTTAGTTTGGCTAAGTGAAACTATAATGAGTCTTTTACTTATTTATTTTTATTTTATGTATATGAGTGTTCCATCTTTATGTGCATCTATGTGTACGATGCCCACAGAGGTCAGAAGAAGGCATTGGATCACCTGGAAACTGGAGTTACAGTCATTAGCTGCCATGTGGGTGTTGGGAACTGACCCTGGGTCCTCACAGCCAGTGGTCTCCACTGCCAAACCATCTCTCCAGTCCCCTGTAGTGAGTCTTAAATTCATTGAAAAAAATACAACAAAGAACAATCCAATGATTGATTTTGGTCTTAACACTAGAAACCATCCAATTGTAAGTGTTCTTACTCAGCTGGAAGACTTAAAAAAATATTCTGAATCTGGCAGGCAAGGTACCTTAGCATTGAGGGGACACACAGAGAGGGCACTTCGAAAGAGCTGGTCTTCGCTCCGCCACTCGCCACTGCGAATCATGCATCTCAGTGCATTGATGAATAAAATGCCCAGGACCACAGCAGCAATTGGTTTCTGAAGAAAATAGATGCAATAAATATCAGTAAGCTGCACATGCTGGTTAAGATTCTATGTCGCAGCACTCTGGGTTCCCTCTTTTTTAAATTCCTTTTTTTTAACTATTGAAATCTACCTGATGATTTTATATCCATGCTCAAGTGGATCTCAGAAAGTAACCGACTGTGACTAGTAATAATCAGATACATAGAGATTAGAGACACATGTGCAAACATCTAAGTGTTAGTAGCATTAAAAATGAGTTTTTCTGTATGAAACACTGTATTTTAAAATGAAATCTAATCTATTTTAAAATGAGATCTTTTTTAAAGGTCAAAACCTCATTCAATGTTATGTCTTATAGGGTTTAATACTGAGTTCAATATTGTATAACTGCATTAATTCAACTGTGAACCTAAAAATTTACAGCCAATATTGAAAGAGACGCATCTTTGCTCTGGAAATTGTTATTGAATATGTTAATGCTGTAATGAAATGCTTCTTCTAATCATGTGATTATTAAGTAAATAATTTAAAAAAATAAAAAAAATTCCTTTTTATTTTTGGTATGCATGTGGGAGGGTGGTGCACATGGATGTGTAGGTGTAAGTGCCCATGTGCATACACATGGAGGCCAGAAAGGACACCAGGTGTCTTCCTTCATCATTTTCTGCCTTCCTCCTTTAAGCCATGGTCTCTCACTGAGCCAGAAACCAGCCATTTTGTCTAGGCTGGCTAGCCAATGAGCTCCCAGGATCTGCCTGTCTCCATGACCCCAATGCTAGGGTTATATGCACGCACTGCAATACCAGGCTTTTTACAGGAGTGCTGTGAATTCGAACCCAGGTCCTCAAACATGCACAGCAAGCACTCTTACTCATGGAGCCATCTCCTGAGTCTTTTGGTACCTTTTTCTTAGTGTGCTTGCTTAGGGCTCCAAAGCCGAAGGTCAGCAGCATGCAGTACCCAGCGCTGGGGAGGTAGAGGACACGTTCTGCAACCACGAAGCCCACTCGGAAAAACAGGTTGCTTGCAGGAAGAAATGGGATCACGAGAAATCCCAGACCCAGAGTAAGGATTCTGGAAGACGACACGTATTTAAATAAATGGATATTTTCAGACAAACACCCTACATGACATAATTAAAGACTTTTCTTTGTTTCATGACAGCAGTTCAGAACAGATTCCACCATGAACAGATACGACCAAGGGAAAAAAGAGGCACTAACAGAGAGGGGCTGGCTGGCAGTACAGAAGACATAAATATATGGGGGCTGGAGAAATGGGTCAGCAGTTAAAAGCGCTGGATGCTCTTGCAGAGGACCTGGCTTCGATTCCCAGCACCTACATGGCAGCTAACAACCTTCCGTAACTCTAGGGAAATCCAACACCCTCTTCTGACCTCCTTGGGCATGGCACAACACAGGTACACTGACATACTTATAGGCAGTATACTCAAACACATGTAATAAAAATTAAAAATGAACTTTTTAAATTGATTTTTGTGTGTATTTTATACAGAACATCTCAAACAATCTTAATCATCTTTATACCCACCCACCACCACTGGAGCCAAAATACTCTTTCATCCCTGTTACTGCCCACTGTGCTGTCATTGCTCCCAGCTATTCCCAGTGCAAGTCCACGCGCTGAGTCTAGTCAGCCTATCTAGAGTCCCTTGTTTTAGGAAGATCAGCTCTTCTTCATCCAGTAGCAATCAGTTGCCACCATTCCTTTAGATAAGACTGGGGTCTGCTCTTTATTTTCCCAGTTCTATGCTGGGTTACTGTCTGCCAGAGTTTACACGGGACTTGTGTATGCTGACACCTATGCCATAGAATCATATGAGCAGGTTCCCAGGAGCTTGTAGGACTCTGTTTCCATATGATCATGCACATCCTCCCTGGCTCTTACAATCGCTCCACCCCCTCTTCCTCAATGGTATCTGAGCCTTGGGTGGATGAAGTTTAATAAAGGGTTCCTGTGCAAGGACCATTATTTAGCAGACTCTACACTTTGGCCATTTGTGACCTTTTGTGTTCCTGGCCACACTTTTGTGTTCCTGGCCCTCTGCTACATGAGGGAGCTTCATTATTGAGAACTGATTCCTTCATGTCCTCTTCTTTAACCCTGTTCTATGTTCCAAGAGCCTTAGGTGTAGAGGCTGCATTGCAGATGTGAACAGTTGTGGTACTTGGTATTAAACTTTTTTTTTTTTTGGTCTTTTTGAGACAGGGTCTCCCTGTAGCCCAGCTGTCCTGGAACTCACTATGTAGACCAGGCTGGCCTTGAACTCACAGAGATCCGCCTGCCTCTGCCTCCCAAGTGCTGGGATTAAAGGCATGCGGCACCATGCCCAGCTAAGCTATTTTTTAAAGACAAATATATGATCAAGGTTCTTAACAAGCATGGAAGAAAAACTTCTAAATCAGGCTGTTCATACTGATAAGGTTGGAAAAACTGTATTCATATTCACATGGCTTTATTAGTTCATCTATTCTTAGTTCAATGAATATTGATACCAAATAAGTGTTTTATGGGAAAAAAATTCCCCCCTAAACTTAACAAGAATATCGAAACAGATTAAACATTATAAAATCTGAAATAAACAAGCATCATTTTTTTTGTTGCTAAGTCACTACCAGTCAAGCACAAAGACAGCTAAGTGGTGCCATGGACCATTCTCTACATCTCATATGATGCAAAAGAATCAATGAAGAAGCAAAGTCAAATTTGGAGGCTCCTCCTGCCACCCTGTGCCTTATAGCATTTTATTTTAAATTCTATTTCATCTATCAGCAGACTGTTATTAAACAGTCTGACTCAGACTGTTTTGCCACTTTTTAGAAGCAGCCAGTCTAAGAACACAGATAAACTTCAAACATTCGTTTATGTTGAGAAATTACTAATCTAATGCCATGTGTGCTTAGGCTTTGTGGAAATCATCTTAAACAGCTTTCATGTCCATGAAACACATTTGTTTTCTCCAATTATTTTCTCAATAACCCTTTAAAAAATCTTTTTACTTGTGGAGAAAGCATGGTATCTCTTTGGGGTAGCAACTGATTTTGTACCCAGTAACAACAGAAAGAATCACCACAGCATTCATGAGGGTTTTTTTTTTTTTTTGAAGAATTGTGAAATAATGGGCCCAACACACATCAATTACACTCTCTGTTCTGACCATAAATTACTCTTTACCACCTACAGCGAAAAGGATCTCCAAGTGCTACTTGGTGGAGGAAAGAGGCGGGGACACTCTTCAGTCATCCTTACAGCTCCTCCAACTTCCCTCCCCACTAGTTGAAGCTAGCCATGGATTCCCACTGGATGAACTCATCCTTTCCATTAATATACATTCAGAAGAAATGTCCTTAGACATCCTGTGCACGAAGTCATTGAAAGTGATCAGTGCTGCATTTAGCAAAATGCTTCCAGGGTGCAAGTTAAAATTCCATGCTGCCTCTTACCTTCTCTTCCGGCTGTCGGCAGAGCACAGGGCTTGGCATATTAGGCCAATTATGCAGAGCCAAAGTGCTGCTAGAGCAATTACCCTCCAGTCACCAACTGACTTAATGAGGGGGATGCAGCCCATTGACCAATCAAAACACAGCCACCAGGGACACAGCAGCAGCCAGGCATTCAATGAATAGTAGTAATTATAGTTTATGGCCTGTCAGTCAAAAGGAAAACAAACACTTGATATTGAACTTGAAAGAACATATATATCCTCCTAACTTCACTTCAGAGGCATTCATAAGCTTCTGTTCCAGAACAGCAGTTGGATAAAAATAAAATATTGCCCATTTGTATTTTGGGCATGGGGCTGCACGCTGTAATTTATTAAATACATTCAGATTTTAATGCTTTACAAATACAGCCAAGTCACTGGACAGGGAGTGCATGTATTATATTTATGGCCAGGCTATGAGTCATTTAGTTAATGACACCTAAAGCCTATGACCAGGGAAATGTAAGGTCCAGATATCACCAATGTGCCTAGCAGTAAAAGAACAGGGCTCTGTCCCGAGCATCTCTTCATTTCTCTCTATACAGTGTACAGCGAAAAATCTGTAGTTTTAGATATCTTCTTTAAAAAAAAAAAAAAAGGGAAACGTAAATGAACAACCCTGACATGATCAGACTCTCATGACAGCACCAATAGTGGTACATTTTGTCTTAACCCAGCCCTGTCAAGTTCCCTTGTAACAAAAGTAATGGAGTCAGAAAGCACTTTAATAAGGTAAGCATGGAACCTGATAATAGAAGGGGCACTCTGCTTTCATTAGAAAGGAGGATAGTTGGACTTCCACCTGTGGGCCTGAATCTGCAGCTCCAACTAACCAAAAATTTAACTAAAGACTGAAAATATTTGGAAGAAAAAGCATTCCAGAAAGTTCCAAAATGCAAAACTTAAATTTTCTGAGCACTGATATATTTCAGTGAATTGCACAAGAATGATGTGAAGAACAGCACTGTATTAGGCCCAACACAGAAGCTAGGGATGATTTTAAGCACACAGGAGATGTGTACAGGTTATATGTAAACATTCTACTATCTTACATGAGACTTCAGCACCCCTGGATTCTGGTATTCTGGGGGGATCCTGGAACTCTCAATGGACACCAAGAGACAGCTGTGTAAGGACCTGACACATACCCTTCCCAAAACCTTAATAAAAAGTTGGCTTCATTCTAAACTGTCCTCAGCAAGGGTAAAACATATGGATGCATCATTTATTAGGGACTTTATGAGTGGTGGGGATGGTGCCGAGGAGGGATGAAGGATCTGTGGATTGGTGGGGAAAGAAAATAACACAAAAGGAGCCAGGCTTAGTACTCACCCTAACCAACATGCTATCAGCAAAGGAAGCTGGGTTGTCCACCTCAGTAAATGGTGGTGGGCCTGTACCCATGATTTTCCAGCGCACATAGAGCATGCTGGCCCCTCCGGAGGTGAGCAGGGTCATTCGGAAGATGAGGCCCCCATTCCTGAGCACACCAATACTCTGAAAGGATACCAAAAAGTCCTTGTTGTTGAAGGTTTTCAACTGAAAGCATAGGTAGGTGTGGTAGAACACACTTGTAATCCCAACTAACTTTGGAGACTGAGGCATGAGTACAGTTACTTTGGTTCATGCGAGGAACTTTGTACAGTTGGTCTGCCTGGACTAGACAGAGTTCACGGCTAACCACTGTAATTTAAGAAGGCCTTGTTTCAAAATTAGAAAGTAGGAAAGGGGCTGGGGATTAGCTTAATGGTGGGGCACTTGCCTAGAACACTGAAGACCCTGGGTTTAACCCCCAGTACCACAAAATCAATCAATCAATCAGTCAATCAATCAATCAATCAATCAACCAACCAACCAGCCACAAGTGAGATTATTCTGCCTAAACAATTTCGACATGGTACATTGAAAAGTTGCTTACTTTAGAATTTAAATCACAAGAAATACTTGGAAAATGGTATTTTTAAATTGGCTGGTACTTGACATTTTCTGTGTCTCAGCTTGGAATAAAAGTATGAAACTCACCTCTAATGACTTGTCCTTACGTAATACCTTCTGGATGACTTCCAGAACACTGAATTTGCCTATCACCAAGATATCAAAGACTGCATTCAAACCCTAAGGAAGCAAAGCAACACAGTTAGTGATGGGAGAGCTTGGCTCTGCTTACCTAGCAGTTAGTCACAATTTCATTATTTAACCTGGTCAAGGAGTACAAAGGAGACAGTCATGGGAGAACACCCTGACATTTAAAAAGAAAACCCAATTTGTATGAACTTAACTCATGGTAATACATTACACCACATTTATCATCTAGTGAATCCCTGTCAGTAATGATTCCATGGTCTGCATGGAGGACTGCTATAAGATTCAGGACAGCTAAAATTTGGGGCTCCTATGAGAATTTCCCCAGGGGTCTTTGTGTGTACCCCCACATTCCATGTCTCTAATGGTCCTTTAGTTTGTGTAACAGAGTACTCAGCTACCTGGGCAATAATTATGGTTTAAGAAAGCAGCCACTGACTTAACAAGCCAGCCATATAAGGAAACGTCAAGTGCAAACACACATCAGACTCTCTGAAGGAGCCCTGGAGACCCCTCAGGTAGGAATCTCATTGTCCACTAGTGCTTTCTGCTCTCTGGGCACACAGCTGGACCCCATCTCCTAGTCTCCCCTACACAGGGGAAAGTAAAAAGTCAGATCAGGTCACATGGCTGGTATACAGTTTTGTATATGGAACCTGGAGAGAAGGGAACATGTGATTCTGGAGGTTTAGTTTAAGATCTAGATGCTCTGCTTCATGGTTTCCCCTTCTGGCTTGTTGGAACAGAATTTCCTAGAGCAACTCTGGATGCTACACACTGAAGATGCTAATGCATTCCACTGACCTGGCCTGCTGTGTGGAGAACACTTTGGGCACTGTGCAGAACCGTCCACAATTGTTAGGTGAACTTCAACTATTAGGATAACTTCAATTCTGGGAATCCACTGGGGGCTACTGTCATTTGGCCTATACTAACAGCTTCCCTAGGTACCATGATGGCCAGGCTGCTCTGATAGACAGTTACAGTCTTGAACCTCATCTCTACCCTGTGGTAGACTTTCTCTAAACGTCATTTTGGGAGGCAGTGTCATCAGTAGACTCCCCTGCCCAATCTGCATAAAGGGGTCTGAATATACTCAGTGTATATGGTTAAAGCTGCCCCTACATGGCTGGGGTCTGTGGCAAAGAAGATCAGAAATCATCAGAAACCAGTGGTAATTTGTGGTTTTCAGAGCAAGGATGACATCCCTACTTAACCCTCTCCCATAAATGCTGGGAGTCACTAATTATCCAATCCATGGGCCACTGCCAGGTTAAACATTTCAAAGAATCATGAGTTTATTCACTCATGTGACACATGATCATTGTGGGTCACAGAAGACCATTTCTGCTTGATTGTGAACCATTTTCTAGAGGGCAGGAACTCCCTGTTCAGCTGATACTAGCTTCTCATGCTGTTTATTTTTCTGCCTGGGTGATAGCCACTGAGAGGTGACAGAGTAATGGTCACCAGAGACTGAGCAAACACAAGGGTGGTACTAGGGAATACTCCATCTTAGTTAGAGGTGGTATCAAAGCGTTCACATTTTATCAAATTCAGCCTTATCTTCAGCACTTCTAACATGAAAATGTGTGCAGGAGTGACCTGCAGACCCAGTTAAGTGTGGATTCCTTCTCAGTGGGCCTGGGGAGGGAGTGGAGACCCTGAATTCCTCCTAAGTTCTAGGATGCTGCTGCTGGCCCTGAAGTCACCCTTTATACTAGCATCAGGTTTCAGAGCAATGGTCCTCTTCAGGAGGACTGTCACAGGGTGCCTGGAAATGAAAGGCATTTCAGGATGACGGGGGGAGTCCTGTTGACCTCTACTAGCTACAGGCAAAGATGCTGCTCAAATGACTACAAAGCAGGATTGCTCTGCCACAAGAAGCAGCTTGCTTAAAATGCCCATAGTGACAAGGTTAAAAAATTGTTTAAAGTTTTGTTTTGCTTTGTTTTGGAGATAGGAACTCACTATGTAGCTTAAGTTAGTCCCACGTCTGCAATCTTTCTGACTCAGTCTCCCCAGTGCTGGGATTATAGGTTTGAGCCACAATGTCCAGCTTATAAAGTAAACTTTAAATAAAAAAGTCAGGAGAGGTAAGTGTCTTTACACAGCAATTCTTTGTCATATCTTTGCTTGCTAACCTTCATCTTAAGAGACAGAGCTTAATAAAACCACCAACATTTGCCTAGACTGTGTCAACCCCTCAAACTCTGACTGCTCTTTCTCTCCCAAGCTATTCCTACAGTCAATCAACTCCCACAACACGGCTTTCCATTTCTCTGCTCATATCCTCAATTTCTAAGTTTTCTGTTTATTAAGGCCAACAAAGGCTGAATTAGAGGAGGATATAAATGAGTTTTAATGTGTCTCCTTTCCTGGGATTCAAACCTATTCAGATCTTACCTAGAAGTGGTATATTTGTCTGCTCAGGAGCCCCCCTGCCTGCTCTGATGTTGCCAGTGGAGGCCAGTGTATGAACATAACACACTCAACACTTAGCTCACTAATATGAATATGCGGCAACATTTAATGACTCTTTCAGAGACTGATTCTCTCTCTCATTCAATGAAGACTCATTGAGAATTTGTTCTATGAATATGACCTCACATTTACTAAATAGAATATACTCCAAAATTTAAAAACAATGATGATGATACATTTACTATACTACATAAAAAGAGACTCAGGCTCTGAGTTGTAAAAATGTGTGATGAAGCACATCCTGCTTAAACTAAGTCTTTTGAGAATGAAATCCCTTTTGACATATCCTATACACATCTTTATTATTTTATTTTTTATTCACTTGTATGTGTGTGTGTCTCTGTGTGAATGTATGCCACATGTGTATAGGTACCTACAGGGTCAGAAGAGGACTTAAGATCCCCTGGAGCTGGATGGAGTTACAAGTGATTGTGATGCCCAATATGAGGACTGGGAATTGAACTTAGTCCTTTACCCTGAGCCATTTCTCCAGCTCTATTTTATTATTTAAAATTTTTATTTTGGGGGAGGGAAGGTACACATTCCATGACACACATGTGGAGGTCAGAGGACAACTTGCAGGAGTTGATTTTCTCCCACCACCATGTGGGTTCCAGGGATTGAACTAGGCAGCAGGCATTTTGACTTGCTGAGCCATCTTCCTGGCCCCCGCACACCTCTAAATGCTAGACTAACTGGACCAAAGTTTCTTAAGCTGTGGGTCATGATCCCATGTGGGACCACATAATTAAGTGGGGGGGGGATGCAAAAAACTTGGCAATATTGAAAAGCTTCTGAATATGCAATGACTAAAAAGTAACGAAAAATCAAACACATAATGAATCCAAGGTGTTTTAAGCAGCACTCGCTGCACTGTGTGACTTCACTGCAGCCTTGGTTCCGAACATACAACATGCACACTTTGCACTGTGCATGCCACTCACACCACACAATGCCAATGGATGCTACCAGAAATACCTCGGCTCAGATTACTATATGTTATGAATTGCAGTGTTTTTACATACAAAGTTTTCTTACAGAAACATAATGGTTTAATTAAGGAAAACAAACACTTTTAATATTTTCCTACCATCATTCAAAATGATGTACAAATTAGTGTACCTTTAGATTGAACTGTGTTAGACAACTAAGCACATCCATCTCATTGACAAGCAAATTTGCTTTCCTGTTTAACAAATGGTAAAATGATACAAACCAAAGAATTGCTTTAAGATAAATTTCTGGGGCTGGAGAGATGGCTCAGCGGTTAAGAGCACTGACTACTCTTGCAGAGGACCCGGGTTCGATTCCCAGCATCCACATGGTGGCTACGAACTGTCCTTAACTCCAGTTCCAGGGGAATCTGAAGCCTTCCTCTGACCTCCGCGGCATTGCACGACACGGGTGCACTCACATACATGTAGGCAATACACTCATACACATAAAATTTAAAAAAAAAATTAAAAAATTTCTTTGTGATGTATTATCAATAAAATTATCTTATATACCTATATACCCAAGGTTGTGTAAAATGTGTCATGTGGAAAGGGGTTGTGAATGGAAGAAATTTAAGGCTAAAGCTGAGGATGCAGCTCAGTGGTAGTGTTTGACTAGCAGGTGCAAGGCTATGGCTTTATTAGCACCATGAAAGAAAAACAAACAAAAAACCTCAACTGGACTAGCACTCTTCATTTCAGGTCAAGCTGATTCTAGTATTGGCTGATGTTTCATTCTTAGGTGGAGACTGGGGAACAGTCAAGGATGTGGGTTTCTGGAAGGTACTGATGGCTGGCAAAACTACCATAAGTTAATTTCTCAGTTGCATTTGCCCTTGCTACAGTCAAGATCCAACACTCTCTAGGGCAGGCCCTTGCTCTCTGTAGGATGGTTGAAGTTTGAGAGTGTCCCAGGGAACTCAAACTGCTTTTCTATGGGGCCTCATCACAGACAGGAACCACAGCCCCCTGAGAACCTCCAACACATCCATTTCCACTATTCAGTAATCACAGCCAGCAGCACCAGTAGTCAATTCTCCAAGTGCCAGCACAGGCCATTGGTTCAGAAAGGTCCATAAACCTCAGGCTGGCAATGGGATGGAGAAGAAGAGGAGGCCATAAGGCAGGCTGGCCCAGCATGTCTTTCTAAGAGGGAATAGATGTGTGCAAACAGCAGACCCTGCCTATGTGTGGATTCTTACCAGCACAGTGATCCCTTGCTCTTTGCACAGCATGGCCACTGCTCCCAGCAAGATACTCAGCAACACCCAGAAGGTGGAAGAATGTGTTCCCTCCTTGTTACCTGCCAAGAGGAGATAAATGCATAAGTCAGGCAATTCCATCTTACTAGCATTAGAAGCTAAAATTCAAACATACACCCCAGTCACTATTTGAAACCCAAGTTTAGTCCCCAGATAGTACATCCCTGTGGGCCACTGTGCATTTCTGTACTCTGGCTGGACAATGTCCTCCAGATGGAACACATGTCCCACATCAAGGCACTGTAAGCCTTGTATGGAAGCCACTGTAAGGACTCTCTGACCACAAAGATGCTGCAACCCAGAGTCCCCATGCACCAAGTTCCTTCTTCCCAACCTGCCAATCACCTACAGGACCATCCTGACAGCTGGTGCTGAGAACTTTGAGACTGCAAACAATCTGTGTGGTTGCAGAACGAGCCCAGCAGTCACCACTGCTATCACAACAGAGGGGTTGGGAATGTCTACATAGCTCTGAGACTGTTAGGTCAGGATAGGACCAGGCTCTGTACATCAGGGAGCTTAGGCTGGGTCTGCTCTGCTGTCCGTGTGAAATAATTCTGATCTCTACTACTATGCTGAAGGGCTACATCTGCCTAGCATGTGGGTCAAGTAACAGCCAACCTGTACTGGGGCTCAGCATCAACGAGAAGTCAAAATACCACTGAACATGGGAAATCATGAGACGCCCCAGAGGTAGGTAGCAGCCACTTGTGCCTCAGTTGCCTTCTGTGGAGGCAAGTGTGTCCACACACTGCTGTGGTCAGTAGAAAACACAGTGTAGTGGCCAGAGCTGAGTGCTGGAAGGAGACAAAAGAGTCATAGGTAGGCTTCATCACTGTGCTTTCTCTGCTCCCTCTTTGAAACCATCAGCCCTTGTCTAAGTAACAGAACCAACACTGCATCTGTTTGGAAGAAGCAATCATTAGCTTGCTTGGGTACCACTACCAGAACTTTAGGTCAGACTTCCATTCTGCCACCTGCTACTTACATACTGCATCCAACAAGTTACTTATACGCACATCCCTCATCTATAAAATGGGGTTAATGATCTACCTTAGCACACATGAGGGAAAAACTATAGTGGAATCGCTAGCCATTTGTTTTATAAATTACATGAAGGCAAAGCAAACCTCTAGAAAATACATGAGAAACTGACTGCACTGGTTTATAAGACATTTTTCTAGAGGAAAAACAGAGTAGGAGAGAAATCTTTTAATTGTATAATCCTTAATGTATTTAAAGTTTTCTTAGCCATATGTACATATAAAAAGCCATATCAGCCAGGTGTGGTAGCACATACCTTTAGTCCCAGCACTCAAGGCAAAGGCAGGCAAATTTCTGGGAGTTTGAGGCCAGCCTGGTCTATATAGCGAGTTCCAGGCCAGCTGGGTCTACAGGGAGACCCTGCCTCAAAAAGACCAAAAAGAAATAAATAAATACATCAAATACTAAACACTAAAAAAAATCACTTGGTAAAGTGCCAGAACCACAGGTGGCATTTGATAAATGCTGCATGTGAACCACTGAAACTTCCTCGGCTTAGCAATGGAATTTCCGACAAGCTGCAATTCAACAATCAAGGGGATGAGTCACCTTGCCTCAAACTGTGCCAAGCATATAGTACAGTGTCTAAGGTACACCATAATTCTCATAAAACTGCTCACTCAGGAGGTCAACAAGTGCTTATGTGTGTACATGCTTATGCATATATATGATGCATTCCTTAAGGATCGACTGGCAAAGCCCCAGGACGGAAGTCAGTCTTTCATGTCCTATAAACTGCCAGTAGGGCTATAGTGCATGGGTGGAGATCTTAACCTCATGTCTTCTACATGTGGGCTGAGATATCTGTCAAGGTGATGAAGCTCAACCCCCTGGATGCTCACGAAAACGTGAGCAGCACCACTTCCTGCTGGGACAGACACCTGCTGTTGCCTTTCGGCTAAGGGTTACCCTTGTTGAACGTGGCTTTCATTAGTGGCCTTGCTACTGTGACCACCTGGCACCTTTCCGGTTTCCCTGGTCTCTAATTCCATCCTAGACACACAAGCCAACTCAACAGATTCCTGCCTTGCTTACCCCATTCCCTTAGGCTAGAATGCTTCTGGCAAAATCCTACCCATTTTATAAAGCTGTCAAACATCACTTAAACTGTGAAGCCACACCCCCATTCTGGGCCCAAGCAGTCGCAACTTCCAAATTCACTTACTTTACTGTAAACAGTCAATAGTCAGTCTGATTGCCTGTGGGCAAGTGTCCCTAACTAATCCCTCTGATTAAGTTAGGAGGAACCATAGCCTATAAACTGCCTTAATCACTCTCTACCAGGACACTCTTCAGTATATTATAAATGTTGCATTTTCTGTTACCACCCCAGATGAGACATTCCATGCATTACAGCAAGTTTAGCAGCATCTCTGGCTTCTACTCATCAGATGTCAGGAGCACCCCTACCCAGCTGTGTCACAAACATTGCCAAATGACCTTTGTGGGGAAATCACACCCAGAAAAGAACCACTGCCTTAAGCCAGTGCTATTCAGAGTTGGTGCCCTGGACCTGAGCCTGGATCTTACTAAAAATACAGAATTAGGTCCACCCAAGTCTGGGTATCAGGAATCCTGACAACTATCTAGCCACTGGCCCTTTTAACATGCTTTCTGACACTCTACAGACCCAGAGCAACAGCCTCAGTACTAAGTTGCATGCAGCTGCATCCCTGGCATCATGCCTGACTTAGAGGAGCCACTGAGAACTATACTGAACAAACAGCATCAGGACATGACTGACTCTGGAGAGGTACCACATGTTGGGTGGATGGAGGAGAATCGTTTCCAGGATGTTTCCAGTAGGGGGCCAACTGGCCTTAACTTGAGTAACCAGTGATGGGCACACATGAGTGTCTCACAACACAGCCCAGTTCCCTTTAAACTCTGGGCGATTAGAAATATTATTCCTTATGCTGAGTCCAAGCTTGTCTCTCAAAATTTCATGACTTAGTTCCAAGTTGTTCAGGTGGCAGGATGGACTGGTAATCAAGTTCTCTTTACTAAGAACCATTATATTTCAGTATATCTAGTTCTATCAAACAAACAAAGGATAATTTTACCTAAAAAATTACATTATATGTATGTAACAACAAAAGATCACAATTATAATTACCACTACCACTAAAACCACCTCCACCACCACAACAAAAAGCTGTAATAGTAAGCATGATTCCAATTGGAAGCTTTATGTATTCATGTGAATTTATCATTTGGGCATCTGCTAACACTCATTATTAGACAAATATTGGTTGGCCCAAAGTTTTAGAAAAAAATTTTGTCCAATGGCTGGGGATGGAGTTCAATTGGTGGAGTGTTTGCCTAGCATGCACAAAACTCTGGATTGGATGCCAAGTACCACATAAACTAGGTGTGATGGTACATGTCTATGATCCTAGTACTTAGAAGGTAGAGACAAGAGGATCAGAAGTTCAAGATCATTCTTAGTTACATATCAAGTTCAAGACCAGCCTGGGATAACCCTAAAGCTAATATGCTGATTAATTTTGGCATGCTACAAGTTTGAACATGGAGCAGGAGTCTAGCTGGTAAGGCTTAGGTGACCTCAGCTCCTATGTCCTATATCAGAGCAAGGGAAACCCATGATTTCCCATGCAGTGGAGGCAGGGATGGCTTTGATTACACAGTGCCCTGCTCACTAAATCCTCCTCCCTGAACACATTCTCCTGAGCTTGGGTCAAATCACTTCAGGATGTTCTCATATTAGCAGATTATATGGAGACATGGCCTCGGATGATAAATAATCATGACAGAGGTGCTCTCGTCCAGCTTCATCTACTTTATTTGTATCAACTAAACTCAGTCCGACTGTCCTATGGAGGCCAATGTTCTTACTCTTCTCTGCCCACCTCAACATATTACCTGAATTTGTTGTTTGTAAAGCTCTCACTTTAAACTTTTCACTTAAACATAATACAATTTCCCTGAAATAATGTTCCCAGTTCTTAACTTCAAAATCAAGTTCCCTGATCATTTTACATTTCTTCCTAGAAAAACTGAATTACTTGGTGTTTTACTTAACTATACATGGAAGAATTTGCTTCTGTGGACCAGGGCCTATGATAGGAAACAAATCCCCAGCTCTCCCATTAAGACACCCAAAGGACTGCTCTTGAAGGAACTCTGTTAACACAAAGTTAAATACTATACAGATGTGAAAATGATGGCCTCATGTTCCACTCATCTTGTCTAGAATTTAAAACAGCCTTCTTCATGGATGGCTACCTCAGACTTAGAAAAGCATGGCAGAAAACACAGCAAACCTTTGGATTCATCAAGCCTTTCCCCTAGTCACATGCCAGGATTTTACTACACTCCTCCAACCCCAAACCAGTGTCTCTGCTCAAGTTTCTTCAGTTTCAAGGACTGTTTGATATTAGGCATTGTCTCTCAACACAGTGACAATTTCAGATAAAAGGCAAAACTTCAATTGTCAGTTATTGGGCACTGCACCTCAGAGAACCACATTCTGTCCAGGAGCAAGTCATTATAGTGAATGAGCACTTGAATTCATCTAGTCCCAAATGAGATGTGTTAAGAGTGACATACAACTGATTCTGAAGACTTTGAAATTATTTCACAATTTTACATTGATTCCATGTTGAAATTTTATTAATTAATTTGTTTGAGTCAGGGTCTCCCTGTAGCCTCAGTTGGCTTGGAACTCACTATGTAGACCAGGCTGGTCTTGAACTCACAGAGATCCACTTGCCTCTGCCTCCCCAGTGCTGGGATTAAAGGTATATGCCACTACATCTGGTAAAATTTTATTTTCAATATACTAAAATTCATTGTCCTTTTTCTTTCCCTTTGACAAGGTCTCATATCCCAGCCTGGCCTCAAACTCACTAGGTACCTGAGGATGACCTTGAATTTCTGATCCTTTTGCCACCACCTCTCAAGTGCTGGAATTACACATCCAGTTCATGTGATATTAGGGACTGAACCTAGGGCTTTGTGCATCATAGGCAAGCCC